TCTAACACCTCTGTGTTAAAGAACCCTGAATGTTTCAGTGCTACACCGTGACTTCAGAACTCCACCAGAAGGTGCTATTATTTTGGTCACAGCCTCACTGATTCATAATGGCTTCTTTTGCCACTTCCTCAATTCAGGGGTCACACGTGAGGGCTCTGGGGGTCATGACTGGGACAGATTTTGATCCTCTCCTACAAATTACTCGTCTGCTTCTTCATGCCAAGCATCCTGGAGTTGAGCCTTGCTTTTCCTACACCATAGCTTCCCTCAGACCTGGGGAAACTCCCCATTTTAATCTTTCTCTGATCACATCTAAGTAGCAGCTTCCCTCACCTCCACATCTGGTCTAGCCAACAGCCTATCTCCCAAGAAGAGCTAACATTTCCAACCCAAATAACGTTGATAATAAGATGCACCGCTACTGTACAGGCCACTAAGAAAGAAAAGCACTGCATTATATGCCACTGATTATAAGTCATCTCAATACTCAGATATTAAATTGTATTTTTAAGTGCATTTTACAATCAAGGAAATGATCATTTCTCCTTCAAATCTTGGCTCTTTAAGTCAGATTTGGGAATGGAAGGCCCAAGGGGGGACCACGTTGGAGGGTCTCAAGTCTTCTTCCTTTAAAGGGGATGGACACCATTGCCCTTGTATGCTCTCAACTCCTCTGCGCATCTGTTGCTATTCCAGCTTTTGAATACCCAGGCTGCCCCTCTCAGCGACCATCTCCTCTCCTTCAGCGCCAGGGAGTCCACTGAAGAGAACCCCACTTTTCTCACAGAGGCAAAACAAAACACAAACCCTGCCAAAGCCAGGACTGCCATTTTTTATATCATCACCTAGCACTCCAACACCATTTATCCAACCACTTCCCACCCTACCGGGTTACCTTCCCCTGAGCCTCCAGGCCAATGCCCAGAGATTAGTTATTTCCTCCTAATCAGGCTAAGACAGCACCGTTAAGCTGCCGACTGCAGGCAGTTCCCATTAAAGCAAAGCAGCTGCAAAGGGCTTAGCCCTTTAATGCCAGCAGCTGTATCTCCACAGTGTGGCTGCTCTGTGAGGGGCTGGACTCTGTCCAGAAGCATCAGGCATTTAGCCCCAGTCGATGTATATTAACCTAGGAGGAGAGAGCAGCCAGCTCCCTGGGAGGAGGGGAGGTGGCTCAGTTAAGCACGTCCACCCACAGGCTTTGCTTTCCAATAAGAAGGAAAAATCCCAGCCCCTTTGTAGTGTTCACTCTACTAATATCTGGACCAACGGTATCATCTCACAGGCAGAAAGAGCTTTCTCTGTAGCAAGAACGACTCCATCTTTAAAACTCACATAAGGACAGATCCACTTGTCAGTTCTGACAAGACTTTAGGCCACTAACCACACACTCATTCTCCTTTGAACTGATTTTTTCTCTGAGGTCTCAAGTGTTCTTTGGATCCCAGGTGTGTATACATGTGGACACAACAGACGGGCTTCCTCTTCTCAGAGAGCACTGGGGCCCTGGGGTTGATGTGGGAGAAAGCTGAACAGCCCTCAGAAAGCCCTGGCACAGAGCGGGCTGCTGAAGAGAGATCACTTGAAGACTTCTTACTCAAAGCCAGATGGTGAACATGAGACGGGGTGAGAGCTAATGCCACTCAGGGGGAAAGCCAATAAGCTAATCCGCTGACACGTCTCTAAAAGCAGGCTGATGGCTTTCGCTCAGAGACTTGCCTGTTCTTGGCTCGAAGCTTCGGAGCACACAAAATGCTCACGGGTGGTCTGAAAACAGACTCCCACCAGCAGCAACCCTAAGCTACTCCTCCACCAGCTCATCCTCCACCTTGCACACAGAGCTCAGCCCTGGACCACCGAGCCCAGGTCCTCCATCCTACCAGACAACAAGCCAACGTTAAGACATTCTCCTATCCCAATGCTTCTCCCAGCAGCCTGGGCCTTCCTGCTCTTTCTGGGTCATCTGTTGAGAGCACATAGGCACATCCACATACAGCCCTGCGTGGAATTATTTACATACCTAATAATGTATTAACAGGCCCCACGCAGCTGAGGAAGTCTGAAGTAGCAAGCACCACAGCTGACCTCCAGAGCAGGAGCTTAATCTCCAGGTTCTAATCCCAACTAAACTATAGTTTATGAGAATTTGAGCCAAATGACCTCTCTGAATTTTTCATCAGTTGGGATCATATCAACTATCCCGCCCACCACACATGGGTGTGCTGAGGTCAAATAAGATGATAAATGGAAGCAACCAGTATACTGTAAATCACCATATTATATTTTCTAGAGGCTTTGTAGGGAATCAGTTCTTAATTCCATCTTCATTGATGACCAGAGAAGATATTAACTGGCAAGTGCTTTATGAGAAGTCTAAATATCCATTTACATGTGTCTAAGCCTAACACACAGATGGTGTCCAGCCATGTGAGATGCGAGAGTAATGCTGTATAAAAACAGTGCAACTAAATGAAGCCTGGCAAGTTAAAGAGGGAGAAGGTATACAAGAGGAAAAAATTCCTGCTTCCAACTCTGTGTCCCTGAAAAGTGGCCTCCTTTCCCATCCCACACGACTGCAGAGGACAAGGCTCCCACACACTGCAAGGTTATTCTTGGTGACGTCAAGCTGTCTTCAGCCTGACTTCGTGAACAGAAACCATCAACAAATAGACTCTGAAAACGAGAGTCTAATAAATTACACGAGTTAAGGACCTCTTGGCCTGGGACTTTCACTTATTTACAAAATATACCAGCTACAGGGGCAGATTATTTTTAATTACTAAATTCTTAGGTCAAGTGGCCACTCTCCAAACCCAGTTTATACTAAAAGCACAATGACTAACATGCCCTGACTCTGCACGCTTAAAAGCTTTTCGCACCAGTGGCTGAAGCCTGAGTCACAACTGAGATTACCATCAAAGCACATTGATCGAGAACCTACTGTGTGAGCTGTGCCGACTTGAACACTGAACTCTGTGCCTGCCACCCTTGCTTCTCAGATCTGGATGCCACAGCAGCTCCCTTCCCCGCTCCTGCTGAGAATCTAAGAAAAGGTGATGCATGATTAAGCAAACTGGTCAGTATTCCAGGCACAGCAGTTGGTCTCCCAAATGCTTTCCAATAGGAAACCATATACCATATGTATATGCATGTGTGTACGTCTGTCTACCTACCTGAAGTGTGAGGTGGGAAGAGAAGCCCTATAAAACAAAAACAGCAAGCCTGGGATCTCTGCTCACTGCACTCATGCAGCACTCCTTGTCACTTCGTGCTGCCTGATAACTTAAGCACGAACTTAGGAACGCAAGACCCCTTTTAATGCCACAGCATCAGTTCACAGCCAAAAATGACTTTTCCCCACGGTAAATCAATTGAGCATCCTTATAGTCCTCTGATGGAAACACATGATGCCTTCTTACCCTCTATTTCTGCAAGCAAAGAATTCACCTTCTTAAGAAAAAAAACGTTAAATACCAATAATAAACACAAATTGTTGCCGCTAAATCAAACCACGTAATGCTTGCCCAGTTAAAAAAGCATCAAACTTAGCAAACTTACATAGATTGATGGAGGTGAATGGATTTAAAGATGTGAATATTCCAGCTATTAGCAAGTGGGGTAATAAAGCTAAAATGCATTAAAAACAGAGTAACAGGCAGCATCAGACATGGTTAGGAGCAGGAGGTGGGGTGACACCCACTCCAAAGCCCCTTCCATAGATCTCACATCAAGGGAGCACAATTTAATTAAGAAAGCCCTCGAAATTCAAGCTGTTCCACATGACGTACTGTTAAAGAAGTTGAAGGTTGGTAAATATTTCCCTCTGCCAATATCAGAATTATTTTCATGGCTAAGGTCTCTTGGCCTAGCCCAAAAACTGAGCAACTGGCTGCCAACACTTGACACACAGGACCATTTCCTTTTTCGTTAATGGGCCATCAGTTCCTGCACAGCGTCATCTTGCCTTCACTCACATTATACAATCCATTTACTTCCTCTACATTAGTGACTTAAAATGCACCTTGGGGAGATACCACAGAACAGCAAACATGGAGCCAGGCCAACACTAGGCTTGCAGACATAGGAAGGAGATGGCATCTAGTACAAAGTTAAAAAAAACAACAAAACGTAACAGGCCTGTGTGTTGTGTGTGTGTGTGTAAAAGGGGGTAAGGGTCTCGAGACGGGACCCATCTTCTGTCAATTTGCTGAGGCAGATGGGCCCTGCTGCGAGAGCTGCCACCTCCTGGGAAAAAAGCCAGTAGGTTGCCTCCTCTCTCTATTAAGCCTGCCACTGTTTACGTTCAATCTCAGATACATTCTGTTCACCAGCTTCAGAGTTCCAAGTGCAGGTGCCCTCAGTTAATCATCCCAGCTCACTCCAGAGTCACTTCCAGCAGTGAAGGATGTTCCAGGCAGTGAGCCAGACAGAATCGTTTGGGTTGTTGCTCTTGTTGTTGTTTTTCTGCACCATTCTGGTCCCTAAAGACTTGTTTAAAAAGTTTGTTTTTTGTTTAAAGTCATTTCTTCAAACAAGAGGGTGAGGGCTTCCCTGGTGGCGCAGTGGTTGAGAGTCCGCCTGCCGATGCAGGGAACACGGGTTCGTGCCCCGGTCCGGGAAGATCCCACATGCCACGGAGCAGCTGGGCCCGTGAGCCATGGCTGCTGAGCCTGCGCGTCCGGAGCCTGTGCTGCGCAACGGGAGAGGCCACAACAGTGAGAGGCCCGCGTACCGCAAAAAAAAAAAAAAAAAAAAACAAGAGGGTAAGAGTAAGGAAAAATCTAGGACTTCAATTTGGACAATGAAAGAGACTGAAACGAAGAAACAAACTCCTGGTGGTGGTGAAGTTGGGAGAAGGTGGTGATGGGGGAGGGGAGAAATGAATGATAAACTCATGACACTTTGGGGAAAAATACTTCCTAAAAAAAAGGAATTTAAGGTTACCTTCCAGAACAAGAAAACCAACCTTACATTCATTTTGAAAAAAAACTATTTACTTTTTTCCAAATATTATTCCAAATACATGTTTTACAGGCCACTATGGGTCAGAAACATTCTATAAAAGAAAGCATCTTGATAGACATTGGAAATAATTTTAATAGAAGAAAAAGCTCATATTTATCTAGATGTAGCTATGTTACACAGGAAGATTTCAGTATCCAAAGTGCAAAGACAAAATGACTGTGGCTTTTCTTGCCACTCAAAATATTGACAATCCTCCCTTATAGCCTACTCTTAATTGTTAGTTGAGTGCCAAACAGATGGTACACTGACTTTTAGAAGCAGGGCTTCTAAATGGACAAGGGGGTGGGGGATGTCAAGCATCAGAATGAATTCAACTTAAGAACAAACAGGCTTTGACCCCAACCAAACCCAAAGTCCAGCCAGAGGCCCATTAGAAATAAATATAAATTGTAGTATCACTTTTACTAGTGTTAAGGTTGTGCCACTTAACACTATTAAACCTAATCAATCCAAATTAAAGCTAAGCACACTCCCATTATTAGTTCAGTCCTCACTGTACCCCATTTCTATGAAGGCTCCATGTTATAGCTCAGTTCATAATGGGGGAAGGGGAATTTCCAAGTTCTCGAAGGAGCCATCCTAAATCTTCTGTCAAAACCTTTCTTTACCCTGCCCTCCCACTCCCCACCCTGAGACAAGTCAATCTTACCAAAGAGGTAGGGCTTCTACCACTGTCTCATGGAAATTACACCAGAGAAAGGTCATTACATGAGAGAATTTGGCTTTAAGGCAAAGGGATGTACCCCCAACTCCCAAAAGAATCACAACAAATTTCATACCCCACTTCTACCCCTGTAAAGATCTCCCATCTAAAAGCTCCCAATGACAGCACAAGGTGTTGATATTACATTACTTGAGGAGGAGATATAAATAGTTTTCATAAAACCCCCATGCACAATTAAACTTGATTAAAAGCCTGGAGAATGCTAAAAGTAGTAATGAGTACAGGAGGCTGCAGAGCAGAGAGTACAGGTGCGCCCTTCCTTGTAGTCAGTAAACGCTGGCAAGTAACAGGAGACGTGACTTCACTTGAGCATTGGAGAAGCAAAAAAGTTGCCTTGTCGTCCTAGGTTGGTGGCAGACTTGCTTTTGCTCCCAAATCTAAAGAAAAAGAGAATGAACTGGAAAAGTATTCTATAAAAAATGATAAACAACTATAACATTACTTGACATAATCAATTAAAGTAGGAAACCCTCAACAACTACTCTGTAAGCTATTCTTTGTCACCTGAGATGAGGCAGAGGAAACAGTAAAGACCTTCAGACCCTTTTTAAAAAGGGACTTTTAAAGTCGAGCTGCTAGCTAAGATCTAATTCAATTTTTCTTTCAGTAAGCTTCAGCATGATGGGAAAGAAGTCTAAGGAAGCAGTCGTTTTTTATTTCCTGAGCAGACCAATTTTGCATACCTGGGAGTGTTCTTGGTGAGGGTGGAGCGGACTCTCTGTGACAGGGAGCTGGATGAAGGAGTCTTGAGGAGCTGATGCTCAGGAGTGGTCACAGGCCCCAGTAAACTCACTTCAATCAAAGGTAAGACATATTTTTAAAGGAAGAGAAAAAAGAAAGCACTCTTGCAGGCAGCCAGTATTAAGCTGAATATCCTGTGAAACACTTAAGAGCTAAGGTTAGAGACCTAGCAAAGTCCCAGAGGTCAGTTTTGTCATCATTTTATAACACACCAGTATATATATTTTTAATTTTATTTATTTATTTATGGCTGTGTTGCTTCTTCGTTTCTGTGCCAGGGCTTTTTCTAGTTGCGGTGAGCGGGGGCCACTCTTTATCACGGTGCACGGGCCTCTCACTATCGTGGCCTCTCTTGTTGCGGAGCACAGGCTCCAGACGCGCAGGCTCAGCAGTTGTGGCTCACGGGCCTAGTTGCTCCGTGGCATGTGGGTTCTTCCCAGACCAGGGCTCGACCCCGTGTCCCCTGCATTGGCAAGCAGACTCTCAACCACTGCGCCACCAGGGAAGCCCCAGTATATTTTTTGAACTATGCAAGCAACGGCTCAATGAGTAGTTGACATTCATTTTCTGAGTTAAGCCATTCTCACACTCATTTTCTGAGTTAAGCCATTCTCAAACTCCAAACTTCACAAATCTAACATCTATTTGATTTTTTCCTATACTAGAAAAAACAATATGCTCCCTTAAAAAGGAACTTGCGGGGCTTCCCTGGTGGCGCAGTGGTTGAGAGTCCGCCTGCCGATGCAGGGGACACGGGTTCGTGCCCCGGTCCGGGAAGATCCCACATGCCGCGGAGCGGCTGGGCCCGTGAGCCATGGCCGCTGAGCCTGCGTGTCCGGAGCCTGTGCTATGTTTTTGACTGGATGACATTCAGAGTTCATACCCACAGACACACCAAAAAAAAAAAAAAAAAAAAAAAAAAAAAAAAAAAAGAGGAACTTGTAATAATGAAAGAATAGGTCTCCGAAGCCAGTGAAGTTGGAATGAAACCAGCCTCATATATTTTTTGGTGGCAGTACAAACTGGCAAAATCCTTTAAAAAATCAAGTTGGGGCTTCCCTGGTGGCACGGTGGTTAAGAATCCGCCTGCCAGTGCAGGGGACACGGGTTCGAGCCCTGGTCCAGGAAGATCCCACATACCGCGGAGCAACTAAGCCTGCAAGCCACAACTACTAAAGCCTGTGCACCACAACTACTGAAGCCCATGCACCTAGAGCCCATGCTCCCCAACAAGAAAACCCATTGCAATGAGAAGCCCATGTACTGCAACGAAGAGTAGCCCACACTTGCCACAACTAAAGAAAGCCCGCGTGCAGCAATGAAGACCCAATGCAGTCATAAGTTAAATAAATAAATAAGCAAATAAATTTTAAAAATCTATATTAAAGAAAGAAAGAAAGAAATCAAGTTGGTAAAACATACCAAGAAACAAAAATGTTTAAAATTTTTAATTCAGTAATTCCCACTCCTGGGAATTTATCATTAGGAAAAAAAAAGGTATATACATATAATGTTGATGGCATCACTATATGTAATTATGAAAAGCTGAAAAACAACATCAATACCTAATAGAATATTTAAGCAAATTCTAGTTTACAACCATAAAAATGATAAATAAGATCATATAGTAACAGAGAAAGTTCTTACAAAATGCTAAGTAAAATAAGAAATAATTATATCGAAATTATTCTATCTATATTTTTAAAAAATATCCACATGGGTAAAGAAAGGAGAATATGGAAAAGTGAAAAAAAATTAGGATGGAACTGTACAAATTTTTCTTTAATGTTAGAATTCTCAAAATTATTTTAATTTTATTGAAGAATATACATTTCAAACAGCTCTAGCAAAGGCAAGGAGAGGGCACCCGACCAAAAACCAGAGAGGGAGTCAGGCCCTTTAAAAAGCACACCTTAGGCCTTGCCTTACCTTTAACTGGGGTCTGTGGTGTTGAAAAGGCATTTGAGTTTTCGATGACATGCATGGGGTCAATGTTCTCTTGTTCCACCATCATGAACTGACTCCAGTATTCCAGGGGTAGTGAAAGCAGGCGCTCTACCACCTAAATGCCACCAAATACGTTAGCAAACTTCCAATGCTCAGGGCTTTTACCTCTCACCATTCTCTCCTGTTATGTTACACAAGTTCATTATAGACATACATGCTTGCTTACCTTGGGTTGACGCTTGATGTCCTGTAACATTATCACTGGATCTGGATTGGGCACAGCATGGGCAACTATTGTAGGGCCAAAGACTTTAGCCAGATTGGCAACATCCATTTTAGTGCTTGGGCTCTGAGCCACTCTAAGTAAAAGAGCATTAAATTAGAAGACTTTGTCCCTCTGCTTAAAAGCAGACCAAAATATAAGATCTATAGGAAAACAATTCAGCCCTCACATTCTCTCCCTAACACCCAACCCCATTCTCTTCCCCTTGGCAAAATTCCCTGACTCCCAGAGACAAATTTCTGCTCTACTCACCTCTGCAAGTGAATCATGAGGAAAGCTAATGTGTCTCTGTTGGCCTGGGGCAGTTCACCAACAGCCTGGTACATGGCAGCTATGCTGTTGTCCTCATCTGTGATTTCTATAAATGAAAAGAAAGTACCAAGAGGCCTAGACTTCTTTCCTTTGACAGCGGGCTTCCAAGTTATCGATCACAAAGTCTCATCTATACAGTAAGCTTCTGAAACTTCTGATTAGGTTCATGACTGCACCAGACTCTAGTTTCATTAACAAGCAGGATACTGGCCAACAGCTCAATATTATAAATCAGAACTCTTAAAAAACCAGCTCTTGCAGGGCTTCCCTGGTGGCGCAGTGGTTGAGAGTCCGCCTGCCGATGCAGGGGACACGGG